GTTATTGTTAACTTTTATTTGCTGCGCTAGTATTTTTTTGGGGGGAAATCTGTTGTTTGTTTTTTTCCCCTATTTTGGCCTTTTTGTGCAAATTGTTTTTGGCCTAAAATGGTTGTCGCGTCATGCTGATTGAGAATATACCTCACGGGTCACCTCTTACTGGTCTCGAAAAGACAGACAGACAGATAGATCCGGCGATTTATTGTAGGAGATGAATACGAAACACTCGAAAATACGAAAATAAGCAGCAAGTTAAGCATTTATACCTATATGGTAGTCGTCTACGACGCTTTTGTGTCTCCTTCAAAGCTAATAATTTGTTTATTGTCGCTGTAATTCGACAATAGCGCTACAAAATACAGCTACAATAGAGCTACAAAATGCGAACAACACCGCGAAAACGCGCACTCGGTGCAGTAGGAGGGTATATAGCGCCACCGCGCAGACATTTATTAAAATAATATTTGAGAATTGAGAACACCGAGCGAACAATTTGAGTTACAATTCTACACATCATGTGACATGTCTTAGCCTTAATCTCTGTGAATTTGGAGTCTAATCTCCATTGAAGGACGATTAGTGTAATTAATTAGCAAATATGCACGTGCGGTATCGCTCATGGGCTAATACACGCGCGGCTATGACCGGTGAAACGAAACGTCAGGAATTCTATTTTCATCCTCCAATCTGCAATCACAGGTCGAAGAAATTCCTCTGTTTAGACGCATGTATGCTGATTGAGAATATATATGGTGTTGGGGGTGACCTGTTTTAGGGGGGGGGGGAAGATAGACGGACTGACCGACAGAAAATCAGAGTCGCCATTTATGTAATTGCCTAAATTGTTTTTGGCCAAAAATGGTCGTCGCGTCATGCTGATTGAAAGTGCTAACGACAAACACTGAGTGCATGCGAAAAAAATAAGCAGCAAGTTGAGCATTTATACCTGTCAGCAGTAGTCGTGTACGACGCTTTTGTCTCTCCTTCGAAGCTAAATTTGTTTTAATAGAACTAACAAAAATAGTCGACAATAGAGCTAGAGAAATAGCAGTCAAAATGCAAATTCAACATGCAGTCGATGGATGAGCAGTGAACGGCCGCATTGAATTAGTAGGAGGGTATATAGCGCCACCTCGCGGACATTTATTAAAATAATAAATTATTTTAATTGCAATTTTAAACTTTTTTATTTTGTGTATTTTTTGGGGGGGTCTTATAAATGGTCGTCGCGACATGCTGATTAAGAATATATATGGTGTGTATATATAAGAATATTTTCTCCGATAGATGGCGCCACGATGCTATATACACTATGTGGTTATATTGCGACTGACCTATATATACAGATATATATCAAAAATTAATAATATATATATATATATATATATATATATATATATA